TGTAAAATCATTGCATTACACAACAGTATATTGTCAAGATAAAGTTCAAAGGTATAAATATGGATTCCATGATGTTAAAGTCTGGCCACAAAGGACTCCTCCTAGTATAAAAAAGCTTTTAATGTAGACATAAATAATTATAATAAAACAAAGATGTATAGAAATATCCCTGACATTCCACCAGTTTAAAAAAATACTAGAGTAATGCCAAAGTAAAATGAGAATGTCTTCTAAGATCAAATAAATAATGGATAAAAAATGTTATATACATTTTCTTTAAAAAATGAAAACAATACAATTGATTCTGTCTATAAGGAAAATATAAACAGGAGTCACTGAATTAGGTATAAGAAAGCATATAGAAAAATACAAAATATAAAGCATTACATTTTAAACATGTTTATGGGAAATCCACATTTTTTCCCCCCATAAAACATTGCTGCTACTGATGTGAGCTTCTAATATACTATCCTATTCCCAAGTACCTACCATTTTAAGTCAGAGATACTGAAATTCTTTAAGAAAAATGTAAATGAATGGAATAAACAAGAAGCAATATAATTTTTTTTAGGTTCAATGAAAGGCTAAAGAAAAAATTACATCTGTAGGTGATGGTTTTCCTGTAAGATAAGGGAAGGAAGAAGGGCTTTGTCTCACCGGCTTTAGACTTCTATAGAAAGCATCAAATTAGGTTTGTATAGTTTGCTATCTGTGTCGACTATCAGATTATTATTGTTAAAGATATACTCGGTGAGAAATTACATGTGATTTCTGACAGATTTCACTGGAAATTGAACACAGTGTACATTGTACCATCACCATAAAACGTAAAAATCTTCTACCCTCCAAAAATTGCTTTTCACATCTGAATGTAAGGTGAAAACACCCTTTTTGCCCATCAAGTTTATCAGAAAAAATTCACATTCATACATTGATTTAAATAGTCAATAATTATTGCAATATTTTTTAGAAGAAGAGCCTAGCGGCACTAAATGACTCAGGGTTTAGAAGGACATAACACTGGAAATTGAATACTTTCAGCTTGATAATTCTGTCAGAATTTTCCGTTTTCCATTCTTGACTCTTTTGTTTGGCTTTCCTGTCTCTTGGTTTTGTCTCCTGTTATTCATATGATTAAGTATTTATATGATACATAAATTTCACATGAGCAATATGACACTAGCATTGCAAAGATGCTTTTTAGCATTTGGGAAAATATTTTAACAATTAATCTGAATTGAAAGGAGAGCAGCTCTATTGTTCTCATGCATCATCAATAGCATACTATGCACTGAAGCCAAGGAGAAGTCCTGATATTTTGGTTTGGTTTCCCATAGAAAAAGTTGTTATCTTGCAAATGTCACCAACACTATCTGGATATCGGCATAATACAGCATCACATAAAATATCTATCTGCTTACCTGTGATGAAGCCTCTCTCTTGCTTTTCCTGGTATGCTTTATGACATGAAATAGTGAGAACAATTTAAAGATTATTTCCACTGTCTGATACACTCCCTGAAGATATGCCAAGCAATTTCTTAATTGTCCCTGAAGAATTTCAAAGTTTAACAAAATACAAGGCGGGGAATTTGTTAATTGTATTCATCAGTGAGTTAGATTTGTTTGTATGTTTGGTATTACATTCTTGCCTTTTACTCTGGATTAACTTTCTCTCCTTTTTTTCTGCTTTGATGATTACTTGTTATGTCTCATGGCTAGATTATGGTGGCTAGTTCGTTGGTCAAAAATCAGTCTAGGGTTGCTGTGAAGATTTTCTTTAGATGTGATTAACACTTAAATCAATACAATTTGAGTATAGCCAATTACCCTCCAGAATGTGGGTGGGTCTCATTCAATCAGCTGAAGGTCTTTAAATAGTTAAGCCTGATGTTTATATGTTGTGTATGTGTGTGTGTGCATATATATACTGCTATATATCTATCATATGTGTGTGTGTATATATATATATATATATATATATATATATATATATATTACATATATATCCTTTCAGATGTTGCTTTTATAACTTTTTTTAAATCAGAAAACAATATTCAGTTTAGGTTAATTATTCTCCTCTTCCGGAGTAAGACCTTCTTGTGTATTCTACATAAAACCCCATGAATTATGAGTTTTTCTACTCTATGTAACAAATAGTCACAGTTCCTGCCTCTGTTTGAGTTCTGAGACTGCTGTCTTTAATTTTTTCATATTGAAATGGGAGTTTTAGGGAGATATAGGCAGGTTTTGGGGAATTGTAACAATTGGGGTTCATGAAAAAAAAACATAGGGCTGCAGATTGGGAGAATGTACATTTCCATAACACAAGAGAGCCAGGTGCAGTTATATTTCCATAAGACAAAGGAGCAGCAATAGGTATATATCCATAAGACAAGGGAACTGAGAGTAGCCAAAAAAGGTCTATATTTACAAAATAAAGAAGGAAGAACTCCCAGAAGGAATAGGAGGACAGTGAGGGAGGTGGGCCTCAGGAATCACTGTAGAAACCAATTCCAAAGGGAAAATTGACCAATCAGAGGGGATATCAAGGCACCAAGATCTGCAGCCTTTATAAGCCTTAGAGAAAAGGAACTCAGTGGGGCCCTTTTCCCCTTCCAAGTTGGGAGTCCATTCTGTGGGACTCTTTCGCCTTTCCCCACATGGGAGTCTGTACTTGTTCTTCAATAAATCTCCACCTTTGCTATACTACCCCCTGTCCATGGATTCATTCTTAGACTCCAGCGGACAAAGAATCGGGGTTCCAGTCCAAAAATTCCGTATCAATGTGATTCTTTCTTTAGCCTTGGGTGGTTTCCACTTGCATGTGCTGATCAGTCATCCCTTGAATAATTGAGAAGGATTATCTGCAGATGCACACGTTCCTTTGTCTGTGAAGCCCCTTGTCTGTAGTATTCTTTCTTGTGAACTCTAGCTGCCTGGTCTCACTGGACTGTCAACTCTGCCTCATCAGCTGACGTATTCTTCTAGGTTTTGACCTCTTGGCAGGGTGGCCTAGAAACTCGTAAGAAAGGAAAGATGGGTAATCATAGTTCATCTCCCTTATTCTTCATCTCTCAGGGAAACTGTTTTGTTGCCTAATATCATTGTTTTGAAAACTATTGTTTCTTACATCTTGTGTTTGTTCTTGTTTTAATAGAAAGGCAAGTCCAGTCTCTATTCTTCCACATTAGTTGGAAACAGAAAAGAGTATTCAGCGTATCTTAGGTGAGCTCTGAAACCAGTCTTTCCATTCTTTAAAAATAATTAATATTTTTCAAGCCTCTAACAAACCCCATCAATATGAAGTGTGCCGAGCCAGCTCAGCCAAGGGTTCGGAAACCTGAGTGAGGGCGGCAAATGGAAAAATGACAGACAAAGAGAATAAGCTGGGTCTAAGTTAATCTTCCTGTCCCTGGCTGAGGCCACAGAGAGAGATCCAGAGGCAAGCTGAGCCTTTATTTTATAGCCAGATGTAAACAAGTTAGTGGTCACCAGAGTTACACTGTTCTTGTGAGTTTCACTTGTTTTGGCAGCACTTGCTACATCTCCCTCAGCCCATTGGCTTCCCAGATAAGATCTAAGGAGCTTCATAAGGTCAAGCCTAATTATACTAAGAGGACTGTGCCCTCTAAGCTGGGACTTGTTTGTGGCTTTGCCAACAGGTCAGCCCGAGGCTTAATCCTGTAGCTGCGCCCTACAATGAAGAAATATTATTGACCTTTTCTTAAAAAATGTGTTAAGAATCTACTCATTTCTTATCCTTTGACTCTTTCTGCCCTGGTTTAAGTTTCTGTCCTTTCCCAATTATCACAACTAAATGAACTCCCTCAGCATTTCCTACTTCCTTTGTTAGTATCTACAATCTATTATTTGTACAGAGTTCTAACTTGTCATTTAATATAAAATTAATTTAATCATTGGATCAAAATTCTCAGGGTCCTTTTATCAATCAGAAGAAAGGGCAAGTTTTACAATGGTCTCTTAGTGGTTTTCAACCTTCTAGCTGGCCCTTTAAATGTAGTTCCTCATGTTGTGACCCATGAGGAAATGCATTTAATGCAGTTTGTTGCTACTTCCTAACTGTAATGCTGCTACTGTTGTGAATCATAATGTAAATATCTGATATGCAGGATGGTCTTAGGCGACCCCTGTGAAAGGGTCCTTCGACTGCCAAAGGGGTCGCGACCCACAGGTTGAGAACCGCTGGTCTATATAGTCCTAAAAGGGAAACTTCTGTTACAAGTTTATTATTATCTCTTTTATTTTCTAATCAAATTTTATTCTTCAACCACCTTTGATTCTGATGTTCCATAAAGAAAAGCAATATTGTCATTTAAGAACTGTTGCATTTACATTTCTCTCTCTGTGATATGATCTTCGCCTAGATAGCCTTATAGTCCACTCATTCATATCTTCAAATGTTTATTTAAATGTCACCCTTACTGACAACCTTAAAATTTAAACTCTATTCTGGCTGCTTGTTCTATTATGTTTTATTATTGCTCAATACCATCCATCATATTATATAGCTTACTTCTCAAACTGCCTCTATACTTATTTTGTCTTAGCTCCATAAATACAGAAATTTTGTTTATTACTCTTAACAATGTAAGTATATTTCCTTGAATCAATCTATTTATAGAATCAGATATTTTTGTATACATAAGGTATTTTTTTGTGTGCCTATACCATGTAATTTTGAATAAAATATAGAGGCTAGTTTCATAAAAATAAATATTTAATGGAAGCAAAAAAAAAAAGCTACATGTGAGAACATATAGGAATGGCACCTAATCTGACTTTGAATATTTATAGGTTAATATCTGAAATATAAGCAAAAAGTAGTCATTTATTAGTAATATATTTTGTTTGAAAATAATAAATACTTTTCTTATTTCTATGCCTATCACACATTGATTCTTGTCCATTTCATGAAGGTAACAATGCAAGATTAAAGCAATGACACTTAGTGTACATTGGCTAATAAATAAGTTATTGCTACCATATCTTACAGTGAATTTTCAACAGAATGTTTGCACACATGTTCCAGGTTCTAGTTAAGGCATTCTTCACCTCCTTGTTCCTCAAACTGTAAATCAAGGGATTCAGCATGGGTATGACCAAAGTGTAAAATAAAGAGGCCATTTTGTCAGTATCAAATGAATGACTGGACTTGGGCTGCACATACATAAAGAATAAGGTACCATAGAATATGACTATGACCGTCAGGTGAGATCCACAGGTAGAGAAAGCCTTGTGCCTGCCCTCTGCAGAATTCATCCTGAGGATGGCAACCAGGATCAGATTGTAGGACACAAGGACTATCAGAAGAGATGAAACTAGATTAAAAGCTGCAAAACTCAGAATGATCAATTTGATTTCATGTGTGTCTGAGCAGAGCAAAGATATCAATGGCAGACTATCACAGTAGAAATGCCTGATGACATTATAGCCACAAAAGGATGAAATAAAAATTTTAAGGACAGCCAGCAAAGACAAAAAGACACTGTATAGATAGGGTATTGCCACCAGCAAGTGACATAATCTTTGTGACATGATGACTGTGTAGAGTAGAGGGTTACAGATGGCCACATAGCGATCATAGGCCATTGCTGACAAAATAAAAACTTCACTGGTGATAAACATACTGAAGAAAGTGAGTTGGGTAGCACACCAATTATAAGAGATTGTATGTTGATTGACAGCTAAATTTACTAGCATTTTAGGTCCTATAGTTGTTGAGTAACCAAGATCAGTGAAAGCCAAGTGTCTCAGGAAAAAGTACATGGGTGTTTGTAGCCTGGAGTCTATCTTGGTGAGGATAATCAAGCCCAGGTTTCCCACCAAGGAGACTGTGTAAACAATGAGGAAGAGCCCAAATAATGGAGCCTGCAGCCCTGGGAGGTCCGTGATCCCCATTAGAATGAATTCATTTAACATTGTTAGATTGTGATTGTCCATCCAGGCCATTCAGGAAACCTATAATGGGAATAAATAAACAGATAATCAATAAATGTCATGAACTTTGACTAGAGATTTCCACTGTAATAAGTAATTACAGGTTTCATTATTTCATTTATGGGGTGTTGCTTTAATATGCTACTCTAACACTTGACTGCTCAATTATCTCTCTCCCAGGTCAAGGAAGCTCTTGACTGGTTTCTTAGATTTGACACAAAAGCACAAGCAACAAAAGTAAAAATACAGAAATTAGTGCTTTATCAAAATTATAAAACAGACTTTTGTGCACTGAAGGACATTATCAAATAATTAAAATGGGACCCACACAAAGTAAAAAAATGCAAGTAATATATCTGTGAAGGTTCTAGTATGTACAATATACAAAGCACTTGTACAAGTCAACAACAAAATAGTAAACAACCCACATATTTTTTAAAAAGGCAAAAGACCTGAGCAGACATTTATAACGGAAAACATACAAGTGACCAATGAGTATATGAAAAGTGGCTTAACAACATTAGTCATTAGGAAAATACAAGTTAAAACTCCACTGAGGTACTGTTTTACACCCTCTAGGATGGTTATTTAAGAAACACACACACAGAAAATTACAAATGCTGGCAACAGTGTGGAGATATTAGAACCTTTGAACAGTTTTTTAAGTCATTTAAAATGGAATAGCCATTATGAAAACATTTTGATGGTTCCTCAATAAGCTAATCATAGAATTATCTTTATGACCCAAGAATTCCACTCTTAGATATATACCCAGAAATTAGGAAAACCTTTGTTAAGTTTACACAAATACTTACAGGACTATGCCTAACAGTCAAAAATAGATATAAACCAAAAGTCTATCAACTTAAAAAAGGATATAGCCAGTATGATATATCCAAAAAGGAAATATATTAATAATTCATAAAAGAAAAAAATATTGATACATGCTACTACATGAATGGGCCTTTAAGACATTATGCAAAGGGAAAGAAGCCAACTATAAAAGGTCACATGTTGTACAATTGCATTATATAAAATATCCAGAATAAGGAGATTGATAGAGACAGAAACCAGAATATTTGTGGCTTATTAAGGAACACTGAATTAATTCTCGAGGGACAATACACTTAGTGTATTTTGTGGATATAAATAGCATCATAAGTCTCATGAGATAAAAAAGAGTTTAAAAACTGGACACTTTTCTAAATCTATCCTAGTAAATACCAGTTTCTCTATATCTGAGAAAATATATGACACACCTCTTTTTTCACGTGTATCTGTATTTATATTTAGATTATTTTATATGATAATTAAAGATGACCTGGTTCTGACCTCTTAAATTTGTTTTTACTCAATACCCTCAAAATATGTAACAAATGCAATGGGAAGAGCTTGGCATTGGACCTTCACTATAATATTGCACTAAGAGTTCAGATCAGTTAAACTATTCCCCAGCTCTGTCTCCCTTCCTCTACCAGGTACTGCTTTCAGCTCTAAAATAAGTGACAATAAATAAATTCTACAATGAGAGATCAATAAAATATCCATAATGTACATATTTCAACACCCAAGTCATTTCTGAGTGAGAATATAGAGAAATTTAGAAAGAGCTACTAAATAAATAGCGTGGAGCCTGGCTGGCATGGCTCAGTGGTTGAACATCAATCTATGAACCAGGAGGTCACAGTTCGATTCCAGGTCAGGGCACACGCCCAGGTTTCAGGCTCAATCCCAAGTGTGGTGGGTGCAGAAAGCAGCCCATCAATGATTCTCTCTCATCACTGATGTTTCTATGTCTGTCTCCCTCTCCCTTCCTTTCTGAAACTAGTAAAAATATATTTTAAAAAATAGAGTGGAAAAGAAACCTTAATTTTAGGCATAATGCATATTCCTGCTTTATAATTTTGCAAAGACTGTTCTTAAGTCTGTATTTGTGTATATTTTAAATTTATTCCCAATTTCTGTTAGATGTGCATTTAGTTATTCAAGATACACTTTAGTGGCATTTCAAAGACCCTTCCAAGGCTTGCACGTGAGAGGGAGGGGACGTCCTCTTAGCAGACATGGTGGGACGGAGGTGCAGTGCCACTTATGCTGTAATATTTTGCTTTGGCCTCACCTCCCACTAAAAGTGATGACTTTCAAATAACATTGATCCTCTCAATGATATTTGTAAAGTTTGGATACACGTGGAAAATTTTAAACAGAGAAATGACATAGTTTATAAAAATATTGATAAAATCCTTTTAATTTAGAGGTAACTGGAAAACATTATGAATTTACCTTACTATTTGAGGTTAATAACTCTGAAACACATCCAATTAACTACAAATAACAATATCATGTTTGACATCTTGGTTAAAAGTCCAAGTTAAAACAAATCTTAAGATACTGGGGGTGGAGACTTTAATGCTTCCTCGCTTTCAGAGGTCTCATCAATGTAAATGTCTAGCTTTCATCAAAAGTCATAATAAAGTATCTGTTGAAACTTCATTTATTTATTTATTTTATTTTTTAAATATATATTTTATTGTTTTTTTTACAGAGAGGAAGGGAGAGGAATAGTTGGAAACATTGATAAGAGAGATACATCAATTCAGCTGCCTCCTGCACACTCTCTACTGGGGATGTGCCTGCAACCAAGGTACATGACCTTGACCAGAATTGAACCTGGGACCCTTCAATCCGCAGGCCAATGCTCCATCCACAGAGCCATACAGGTTAGGGCGAAACTTCATTTATTAAAGCAGGTTGTTAAAGCTATGGCTAAATCACTGAGTTGCAGTATTGAAGACTAACATTTAAATGGAGATGGGCCATGAAGTGTCCTTGGATCTCAAACAGGTCACAGAAGCAGGCACAGTCTACTCACCTTCAAGGAGGACTCTCACTGTGCTTCCGCATGATGTGTTCCTGAGATAACCCAATAAGAAGAATTTACAGGTTTCTTTGGTCCTTGGAGATCCTCCCTGAGGGAAAAGGTTACAATTTGTTAATTGTGCTTAAAGCACTTGAAAGCTTCAAACAAAGCCGATGGGATGTCTGCTAATTGGGCAGGACATCTTTCTAGTCCCACACAAATACAGTTATGTTAGGTACCTTTCCTTGGTTTCTCTTGGTTATTGTTTCTTTAGGAGAAGCATTTTAGTTTTTTTGCAAGCCTTAATTGTCTCCTCTAAAAGGAGTGTCTGCTTATGATTTTATCGCTGAGGACACAATGAAGAAATGTTTTCACAATGTTTTTCATTGTGTTAAAATTCATAAGGGAAAATAGATATGTGTAGCTATTTTCCCCTTATTTGTGGTGTATATAATTTATCTATTTATATAAAAAGCCAGTGCCCTAACCAGTTTGGCTCAGTGGATAGAGTGTCAGCCTGCAGACTCAGGGGTCCCAGGTTTGATTCTGGTCAAGGGCATGTACCTTGGTTGCGAGCACATCCCCAATAGGGAGTGTAAGGAGGCAGCTGATTGATGTTTCTCTCTCATCGCTGTTTCTAACTCTCTATCCCTCTCCCTTCCTCTCTGTGAAAAATCAATAAAATATATTTTTTTAAAAAGCCAGTGTCGGAGAAACTAAGATGGCGGCATAGGTAAACACCGGGAAATTGCCGCCTCTCACAACAATTGAAAATTACCGCAAAGGACAAAGCAAACATCATCCAGAACAACAGGAAGGCTGGCTGAGTGTAAATTCTACAACTAGAAGGAAAGAAAAGCACGCTGAGAGCCAGAGGCGCTGCGGAGGTGAAGTGCAGAGGTACGGTGGCTCGCGCGCGTGCGCAGAAAGGGGGTGGCACCTGAGGACGCGGCTATCTTTTTGAATCACAAGCTCCCGACTGCTCTGAACTCCGGTTCTGGGAAGTCTCTGGGGACCCAGGACTCATACGGGGAGAAGCTGGTCTGTCCGGCAGCGGGCCAACTTGAAGGCGGCTTTCCCTCAGAGGTGCTTGCAGCAATTAGCGGGTCACTGAGACCCGCGACTCCGGGCAGAGAATCAGCCATAGCTCCTTGATCCGCCCTTGGATTCCCTGAGACCCCGCCCCACCCAGGCTGCCGCAGAGGCTTTTGCATGTGAATGTACCTAACTGCAGCCGAGCCAGGCAGACCGGAACTTCCAAGAGAAGGCCCAAGGCCCTGCAGCGGCTTGCATTGCTTCACAGCTGAGCCTCTTCGTGGCTCCTGCTGTGTGGCCTCAGGCAGAGGCTGAATTAGCACCTCCTTAGATCCAGGAACCACTGTACCCAGTGGTCAGAGGGGGACCATCCAGATTGCAACTCCTCAGATCCATAAGGGACACACTCAGGGAGCAGACTCAGTGAGCACCAAAGCCCCACTGAAGCAAGTCTTGCCCCAGAGGGGTGTCTTCAGCACAGAAGTTCTCCCACTTTAGACACAGCTGATTCTCACAGCCAATTGGCCTGGAGGTCAATTCCTCCCAGTGATCCTACAACAACCAAGGCACCAAGAGTGCACCAAGAGTGTCCACCCCAGGTAACTGGGGAGGCTGAGCTACTGGGCCCTACAGGACACCTGGCGCGCAGGGCCACTCTATCAACACAGGGAAGCTGCCAAAATGCGGAGACAAAGAAACAGGTCACAAATGGCAGAAATGGAGGAAAGCAAACGACTGGATATAGAGTTCAAGGCCACGTTTATAAGGTTTTTCAAGAATTTTATGGAAACCGCTGATAAATTTAATGAATCCCTCAATAAGTATAGTGAGACCATGGAGGACATGAAAAAGGACCAACTAGAAATTAAGCATACACTGTCTGAAATAAAGAATAATTTACAGAGATCCAGCAGCAGACAAGAGGATCCCAAGAATCAAGTCAAAGATTTGAAATACAAAGAAACAAAAAATACCCAACCGAAAAAGAAAAAAGAAAAGAGATTCCAAAAATATGAAGATAGTGTAAGGAACCTCTGGGACAACTTCAAGCGTACCAACATCAGAATTATAGGGGTACCAGAAGGAGAGAGAGGGCAAGATATTGAAA